AATTTAACACTTTCATAGAAAATTACTTATATTTTTAGAGACATTTAAATATATATAAAATATGTTAAAAGAGAAAAAAAATATATTTAGACTTACGTAGATCAAAGTAAAACACAGAGTCACTTTAAAAAAATTTAAATTATCGTCACGTTACGAAGATTTTATCCGAGCTGCCTGAATAACAACTTATTCCGAGGGATGATGAGGAAGGCAGACCGAACGGTGCCTTGTTTGCACTTGATAAACGAGCGACGTTTTCTTCCGCGGTGTATCGGCAATGTTTGCTCGTCGTTTAATGCCGACGACAACCTGACTTTAAATATTTAGCACGTACAAGATGAACAACAAGACTGTCTGCTTGCCATGTCCGAGCTTTCGTCCCTCTCTCCTTCTCTCCTCATGAAACTCATGGCGACGCAAATATAAAAAATTCTTCTTCGCCAATATAAAAAAAATGTGGACGCCAAGTAGATCAGCATACATTCTAAATTTGATCCACTTGCTCTATATTCATATGCGTATTTACTTTATACTTATTTTGCAGTTACTTAATTTGATTATTTTAAGTTTACTTCTATAAAATTTTATCATACGTATTTGTTATTTTATAATATTTAATAAAGTGACATAAATGTACAGATAATGTAATATACCTCTCATTTTACGCATCATATTTTGTAATACGTACATCAACTCATAATTACGTTACGTAGAAAAAAAATATACAGAAAAACTGTTCTCCACATCATATCTCGTTAGCTTCCGCTCGCCTTTCGAGGCGGAATTGCAATTCTCAAAGCGTGCAACGAAGCAGCAATTCTCTTCGTTTCCTCTCTCGCAAGAAGACCGACGAGTGATAGAAAGGGAGTGGCTGATCAGCTTCGTCGTTCTAATCATTTTCCAATCAATTGATCAAGCTTTAATTGCTTCTCCAGGAGACCGTTATGGTATTCCAGCAGCGCGGAAAGAGATAGGGGAGCGATCTCTCCAGGAAGGAAAGTCACATTGTGCGAGATTCGTATCAAGATTTCCCTTCCACCCCGAGCATGACTCGATCAATCACCGATGTATCGCGCAAATTGTCTGTAATCTTACTAGCGCGCGTTTTTCTGGAAATAACACGCCGAGAGTATCACGCATCCGTTGAGCATTTCTTGGTCGCACCTTCATCCCGCATCGTCCCGCATGGTTTTTCTTCGCAATGATCTACCGCCTTTTAAAGAAATAAGTCGACCGATAATTATTGCTTGATGCAAGCATTAAATATAATCAGGATTTAATCATATACTAAAGGGATGAGAGATGCACCTATGATTGAACTTGTTCTAATTGTAAGTAAATCAAAACGTACGTAACTGACGATGCATTCGGAACAAGTTTGTATATCTGATCCATATTACCTTTTTGCTATGTATCCTTATTACATTAGGTTTATTTTATCACCTGTTTTATGTAACGCAAAACAGCAAAAATAATGAATGGATAATTAGTAAATGCAAAAAGAGAAAGATTTAATCAGTCATTAATTGTACACTCCGATGCGGATGTGATTAATGCATTTAGAATTAATTATAAAAATCGATTCTTTCGATTGCAGTCATTCGTGAAATAAGATTAGTGAAACAAGATAATGATGCTCAGACTAATATCAGTAATATTAATAAATTAAATTGCTTGTCGATTTAATTTGTGATATTACGTACTCCAGCTTCGTTCTAAGGGTGTATTCAGTTTCACGCATGATGTGCATAATACATTATTTATCCTTGTTTAACATTCGGCGAACAACGAGAATAAATGATGCATCATGCGCAACATGCGTGAAACGAAATGCACCCAAAGACTGTGTTTCAAGATCGACAAATGATCGTCGCGGAATTTGCTTGAACTGAAAATTGTAAAATTTCATACAAAAATATTCCCAGGTAGCAAGCTGATGTAATTTGTTGTCATTTTCACCATTTTTACATCAAAAGGGTTATTAAGAGCTGTCATAATAAGAGCTATCGTGACTGAATGTGGCCCTTTTGACTCACTTGAGTCGAACATTTCTCGGTCCATTTTCACCTTAGTAAAAATTATATGAAATTATATGAATATTTCTAAATATTACTATTTATCTTGAATAGTTTGTTAGAATAATATTTAAATTCTTTCTCTGAAAGTAACATTCTTGCGTTCCAATTCACTACATTCGAATAATTGTAGTCATAACTTCGACAATGTTGATCACTATAATAAATAATCGCTGTAAGATATCGCAATATCTCCAAACTTTCATGAGGTATAAACGACGCTGTGCCCGAAGCAATCGAGGATTTTATAAATATAATATCGAGTTTCGCGGTCGTGTCGGGTCGCGATTTTCGATACCCAGCCATCCCACGGTGTAGTTAAAGGGAAGAGCCGGGACTCGTTCAAGGCGAGCCACATGCCACTGCAATTAACGGCCCGATATTTCATCTGGAAAACAAGGCGAAACAGCCAATATTATTGCATCATGAGCTTGACGTGGCAGCTGTAAGAATACATTAAATCTCGGAAAGTGGTGCAAGCGAGTGCGAGAGCGCGAATTGCTCTCTTACGAATTGCTCTCATAACGGTGCGGCCATCACGACGCCACATTATGTGTGTGTGTGTGTGTGTGTGTGTGTGTGTGTGTGTGTAAGAATTCCGCAAAATTGCAACGATAAATAATAAGAATATTACTTGTCACGCAATAACGGCATTTAAATGATTTTCCATCGTCAAATTAATAGACAATACCTATCATCAAAACACCGCTATGCGTCTGTCAGCGCATCTTGCTATATTTAACGTCGCGCAAAATTATATTAATTTCCTCGTTTTCTTTCCGGAAAAGCTCGTAACATACATCACACAATGCTCTCGATTTAATATAAACAGTGAGAGCAAAAAGTATTCGTACAAGGAAATTTTTGATAAAAAAAGTCTTATTTGTAGAAAATAAATATTAACAATTTTATCCAATGAAAACAAACAAGCTTCGCATTTCTGATATTAGAGCTAAATCTCTCGACTATACGAATATTTTTTAAATATCCAAACAATGAAATTTTTAATTTTCGCTTATTTTTCAGATGATATATTTCCTATAATTAATACATCTTTTTGGTATATATAATTTTAAGAAGCATATAGTCTATTTTATTCTTTACAAATAAATTGTTAATTACCCAGCAAGAAATGATCATCAATCAAACGTCGAATCGACGTTTCAAATTGGTGTTGAAATCATTGTATTGATATCGATTCGACATCAATTCGATGACTCATTTCTCGCTGGATAATATTTAATTTTTTTAAATAAAGTTTTTTTTTAAAAATATTTTCTCTGTATGAATACTTTTGATACTCATTATATAATAGCGAGTAGAGCAACATGATTATTTACTCTCAGATAATCAAATATTTGGCTATCTGAGAGTAAATAATCGTGTTGCTCTGCTTACTATTATATGCATTATGAGACGAAAAAAATAATTACGCACATATACGCAGAAGAAAAGAATGCTAAATACTAGGGATTACCCAAGAACATGCAACTATATCTATTTACGTTATTGCGTAATGCGTGCGCGGAGGTAATTAACGGAGCAATTAATCGGCGCGCAACAAGACGCCGCGCCGGCTCTTTAAACGCCGCAAATCCATCTCGGGGAATTAACACGCGGGAAAAAAGCTGGCACCAACCGAACAACTTCATTCGATATATCCCTCGCGTATAAAGTTACGTCGCCAGGGCGCTAAGCCATATTCCGTTTCTGCCGTTCCATTGCAAAACCAAGCATATTCCGTTACGCGATATCGCATATTGTGTGACACACACACACATATATATATAGACAATCTCATAATTTGATGATCATTCTGGAAGGAGATAGAAAAACTTCCAGAAAATCTCACTAAAATATCAAGAAATAATTGAGTTAATATCACATTTTGAGAATTTTTTTTCAAATTTTTCAATTAAAATAAAAAATTGGAAATATTGAATAAATGCTATAAATTATTTTCTCCACATATGAAAAAAAAATGTTTGAATTTTTATGACTTGAGAACTACTGTTTATTAATTTATATGCACTATAATATATTGCCTTCCACTATACTGTCTATTAATTAAATATCTTGAATATTCATTTAATAATATAATATCTTATAGGATCGTATATGTATGTGTGTGTGTATATGTGAGAACACAATCTATAAAAATCGAGTTCGACTTCCGACCAAGATAATATTTTTCGCAATAAGAATTAATTAATTTACAGATTTTAATGTATCACTCGGCATTATTAAGATCGGCCCAACCCAGATGACATTTCGTATAAAAGCAATAAAGCAGTGTAATTTATTTGCTGATACTTGTGTCGTAATATATGCGTGCGTATACACACACACACACACACACACACACACACACACACACACACGTGCGCGCGCGTGCAAAAAAGAATCAATGTATGGATACTTTTTTTCCTATGCAATCTGAAACATTATAATTTTTTTTTAATTCTATAATTCATAACATAATTTACGTTATTATGAGTTATAAGTTATAGGATCAAAAAAAAAAAGAAATCATAATGATATTTCAAACTACGAAGGAAAAGAAGTACTCACATTGATTCTTTTATTTTAGGTATGTATGATGTGTGTGTAACATTAACAAAGTACTTACTAAAACTCCATAAGTGTGAAAGAATTAACTTCAAGATATTAAATTAATAAAGGGTGATAAATTGACAGCAGGTAAAAGACATATTGCGTATTAATAAATAATTGTTTTAAAGTCATAAAAATTCGAACTTTTTTTCTCGTACATTGAAGAAAATAATAAAATTATAGCATTTATTTATTATTTCCAATTTTTTATTTTAATTTAAAAATTATAAACATTACACGCGCGCGTTACGTAGTGTAGTATAATTAACCTTTTTATCATAATTAATTTACAGGATTTTTGTGAAACCGACTATGAAAGAGATACTTGAATACGAAGAAAGCGCGACGGTACAAGAAGATATTGCACGTTCTTGGTACCGAAAATCACATAATCATTATGAGCCGGGAGAACAAATTACAAGAGAGTAAATATTATGCTAATAAGATGTCAATAAGATTATATAGCTGACCAAACAACAGATCGAGACAACAGAGATCAAGCTATCATTATATAATTGGAATTCTTTTAGTTATAAAAAATTTGATAAATGTATTAAATTTGGCAAACCGCCAAAGAGATCGTTATCTCGGGTTAGAAGAATTTTGACGTGGATTAATCACGAACCGGTTACCTTAGTCAACGGTCGACAAGCGGATTTCTTACAACGCACTAGATCGTTTGTCGGACAAATCAAGTAATATCAGTTAGGACCAACAATTGTTAATTTTGCGATAATTGTACAATTTATAATAGCATGACAAAAAGAGAAATGACAAAATCTTACCAAAATCTCTTGTGTAAAAAATCCTTTTCATCATGTGAATATATAGATAAATGTAAATGTGTTAATTGTTACAAAGTTTAAATACAATAATTTTAACTATTTTTTTATAATTGTATCTCTACTCTTATGTTATAATTTAACATTTATATTATTCTTATATTATTTCTTAATTTAACACATAGATTTAATTTACATAGATTTTGTCAGTCAGTAAAATAACGCAACTTAAATTCAGGATTGGGTAGAAACTAGTTGAAACGTTAAAAGTTAAAAAAAAAAAAATTAAAAGTTAATAACTTTTAACTTAACTTAGTTAATTTTAAATGCATTAATTTTTAACTTAATTTAATTACTTTTAAACTTTAATTTATTAACTTTTTTTAAATTTAAAATTTTTCTATCTTTCTTAGTGCTAATATTTTTTTTCTATAAAATCTTAAACATTAGAGAATTAATTTAGAAAAAGTTCAATAATTTTATGATGAGAGATTCTATAATAAGAATTACACCATACGATAGCCATTTTTATTGACTCGCTAGATTCAATAAAAATTCAATGTCAATTCCCGCTTATATTTGAATCACAATAATTTTAGATATCACAAACGTTATATTTCAGCATAAATATTATATTATATGAAATGAACCTTAGATGAAGAATTGTTGTAGAACAGAGATGCACATCCACCCATTTTCTAAATTTTTACGTGTACTTTTTGTAACAAATATCTAGTCGATGTAAACATGAATGTCGTTTCAGAAGTTAAAGAAAATTAGATAAAAGTTAAAGAAAAAGAAATAATGCAAACATATAACCTTTTCTCTCGCAAGATTTTGACAAAAGCACCTTATGGTGTGACTCTTATTATATATAACTTACATGTGGATATAAAATTAAATTTACCTAATAATCTATATTTGTAAGGATTATTTAAAGTAATCTCATTTTTTAAAAAATTAAGACATTCTGATCTCAAAAATAATTTTTTTCGAAATTAACTTTTTTTTAAACTTAAGTTAATTTAATCTTAATTAAGTTAATTCTTTATTCCTTCAACTTTCAATTTAATTTTATTAATTTTATAAGTCATTAATTTTAATTCAGTTTAAAAAAATATTAACTTACCCAACCCTGCTTAAACTTTAAATAATTTTAATAAACTATCAAAATACAAATATGATCTTTTTCTTTTTTTTATACTAGCTACAACATAAGATTTGAATTAATTAATAGTAAAAATGATAAATTTCTTTGTGGAGAATAACTACTAATTTGTAATTCAAGAGATCTAGAAACATCGCGTCTTCATGCAGATACCGTACACGGTAAGAAGAGTGTCAAAGATGAATTAGATGTATCAGACGAACAAATGTTTTTCTGGTGGCAATGTTTGCAAGATTTACATGATTTTCGTCGAAAACTCAAAAAGCGTATACAGGAAGTGCCGTTCTTAGACATAGAGGATGAGTTTTCTTGTCTAGATAAAGTACGCACGTCTCTATATATTTATTAATATATCTAAATATATCATATGTACATGTATCATATGTATATTATTAACTATTTTATGTATTTGTTATAACAAAAATTCATATTAATTTATTATAAATTCGCATACTAGGTAAATTTTGGTTAATCAAATTAACCAAAATTATCAAAACATTTCATCACAAATCATATTCTTATAATCATAAAATTTTAATACAGGAATACATCGGAACTCTACCTGAAGATAAAGTTTTTATGATTTTCGAGAAGTATCGCATATATCCAAATAAGAAGTTTTTTGTACCATTAATAGACACGTTGCAATTGCGCACAGATGGAAATGTTAATTACAAAGAAATACTGAATCTCTTGAATTGGAAGCGCAGCTTACCTGTTTTACCAATAATTAAACGTGATTAATCAATAATTTTTGTAATATTCTAAATTCTCAAAAAAAATTAATTAGAGAAATTATAAATGATATATCTTTATATGATAACAATAACTAATTTTAATCTAATAATTCCAAACGTATTTCAGTTCTGATTTTAATTTGTAATTTAACTTATAATAACACAGCAATGATATTAAAAAATATTATTTTAGAAGCACCAGTGACGAGTCTAGATTGTACTACATATAATGACAGCATAAAAAATATTCAGACAACTGATAGCGCAAGTAGGGTTCATTTTTTATATCTCTTGATCTTAAAAGTATTTTTCTTAAAGTGATTATTTGAAATATGAAATATAAGAAATATTACAGAAGTACGTGCGGCAGAACTTCCATCTGAAAGATCAGATTTTCTGAACACAATGTTACCGCGCGCTGGATTTCATCCGGATAAGGAGAACTTGGGCGATCAAATCTCTGTCCATTGCTTGATATCGCCTAGTATATTTACGAGATACGGTTTGACACATATAGATTTTTTTAAGGTGGATCGCTTGATTTCGTATTATCTAGTTATTCCGTTGTTTAAATATTTTTACTCTTAATTCAGTATAAATTGTATCCGAAGATTTTGTCTCATTCAAAAGATTTGCCAAAATTCTTAGCTATAAATATTAATTTATATATTTTATCTAATTATTCCATTGTATATTATTCTATTATATTATAAAAATATTAATTTATATTTACAAAATGTTATATAGATACGTGACAAGGAAGAAATACGAAGCATATTCGAGAACATCGGTTTCGAATTTCCAGAGGAGAGCTTTGATACACTTTGGCAGAAAGGAATGCGGAAGGATTGCACCGATGGTATGTGCGTTGAAACATTTCAAGAGTTACTTGCTGCGTCAGGTTTCGTGGCAAAGAAAATTACATGTGACTAAATACATATAAACTTCTCATCTTGAAAGATCTATACATATAAAGACTTATAAAGAAAAATATAAATTGTGTATTTTAAGTGTGATAATTACTAACTAAATATTGAAAATAATAGCTATATAATCTTCAACGATCATATTAAAGTAATATGATCATTTAATAATAATCAGTTTAAGTTTTATCAGATAAAAATTTATGCGTGCGTCAAATATACAAACTGTACAATATATTTATTTACTTAATATAAATAAAATTATATGCATAATTATTATACAATTATTTACAATGCAAATTCATTCTACAGGTTTCAAAAATTTCGGTTTTTTACTTAATGGTTCGTCTTCATTGTTTGTTTTTATATGTTGCAGCTTTCTGTGTCTGTTTGTAGTATCAAATTTTGCTCGCATTTTCGTCCATTGAACAGCCATTTGTTCATCAGATATATCGTCCTCTTGTTTTACATCTTCGTTGGTTCGTTTAGCATTCTCCTTTGCTTCCATTAATTTTTCTATAATTGGATTCATCCCTTGAAAGCTTAATCTACCATCATTAAGTTTCTTACAGAAAACATAGCTCGATTCCATAAGAAATTTTCCACTTAAACATAAAATAGAAGCAATTGATATCAATATTTTCAGGAAAAAATGTATGTCTTAAATATATATTTCAAAATACAAAATATCCAAAAATTTATATTATTTTAATTTACATAATTATTAATCCAGATGTAAGGCTAGTTGGAAAAAATAATAGAAAGTACTTACGATGCTTTTTTCATACGTGATGTAAGCTCGCTGCCGAAGTATTCCTCTCCTTCTTCTTGAAACTGCTCTTTCTCCACTTTGTCTTTTGTGCGTTTCATGAACTGCAAACAAATCCACTTATTATCGTGCCACAATTGAGCGAACAAACTGACGTTATTTATCATCATTTTGTCAAAGTAACAACAAATAACGTGAAATAACATTGTTTGTTTGCTGGAAATATTCTATTTTCTACAAACTTTCCCAACTCACCTTCATTTCCAATATACTCTTTGACAGGGTGATTTTCTTTGAATTCATGTTTAACGATTAATATCACAGACACGAAAAATAATAGTAATATCTCTCAAGAGACAGTCAAAATGTGAAAAACTGACAATTCTTCTCAAAAAATAGTCAAAATTATCAATAATTTCTTTAAGAAATCACGCACGTGTCAATAACAAATACCACAATATGTAAACCACCACTTACATTAGAAACAAGGCAAACCTAACCTAACTTTTCTTACAGTAGCGACTTTGACGGCAATTCGCATTACTATCATAATAACTTTGAAGAATTCTATATTATCAACCTTATTCTCTTAATTATTATCATAAATTTTATTTATCATATGAGTGTCGATACGGTAATAATTTTCTTTACCTACGGACAGATACGTATATCGACCGCGTTCGGCTTTTCAATCATTTACTTTCCGAACTATTCCGAACTGTAGCGTAACGGTGATTTTTGTTGGCTAGCTGCCCTGGCTGGGGCAGGACGATCAACGGACTGGCGTGCATTCTGAACGACTCCACGATTTTCGTCCATGAAATCGCGAAAGATGCAGAGGTCCGCGACGACCGATCCAAAACACGAGGCACAGTTTGTCGGAGAATGATGTCGTAGCAGCGAGGTCGTGGAAGCGAGGCACGAATAATCGTGAAAGGTGGACGTAGCAACGGCAGCGGAAATAGTTTAATCGCTTGTACTAAGGTAAACCCGCGCCCACACGGCAACTTGCGCGCGCGAAATCAATAATAACGGCATTACTCCAACGCTATTATTTCATTTTTCCAGAGCTTCGTAAATTAGAAAATTTCAATAACGTCTATGATAGCCCCTACGCTTTTCAGTATGACCACGAATTTCATTTTAATTATATATCGTTTACCCCAATTTATTTTGAAACACTGGCTACATTGTAGGCGTGACAAAACGAGACGACATCTTAAGAGTCGTCGATTTTGATAGTAGATTATAAAATTGTTTTTATTTTTCGTTTTTGTACACGTACTTTTCAAATCGTGCTTGTCACATGTTGGCCAATTAATGTTTTCATTACTGATAATTCACTTGAAACGTCTATGTGGATTTCTCTCTCTTCGATATAGACATAACCTTGTAGAAGTTTTTCATCTTTTTTTTCTGAAGCTAATATTATTGTACTAACTATATTTACATCATTTACAAGATCATCATTTACATCATTTTCAAGATCTGATGTAAATATAGCACTTTTCTTAATTGATTTATATACTATGATAATCACATGTAGAAATTAGAATATTTCATTCGAAACTGGTATAATTATTTATAGAAATTTATAGAAATATATGATATTCTATGTATCAGAAAACATTAAACAGCATAAGCTTTACTTTAAATAAACACATCTCAATGTTCTAACTAAATTATTATTTTGTTACTATTTGTACTTGATAGACACAGCACTGCGTGTAAAAATGTCGAAACGACCCCCAGATAATGGGGACTCCAGTTCCCAACCACCTATAAAGAAGGTACAGTTTGAACCGATTCTAATTGGACCCATATCTACTCTTGAAGAAATGGACATGAAGGTTTTACAGTTTCAAAATAAAAAGCTGGCACAGGTATATAAAGTTTACATTGCATTTATATTTTTATTACTTTTAATAAATTGATTTGTAATTGCAGATAAAGATAAGGATTAAAATTGTAATAACATGATGCATATAATTGTATATAAAAAAAATAATATAAATAAGAAAATAGTTACACAATTCTGTATTGTTGAGTAATTTTATTAAAATTATATTAATTATATACAAAAATATAGTTCATACAGGATGGCATTTGCTATTATTGCAGGAAGTTGTTGAAATTAAATTGGTATTATTTTTACTAAGAATATACAATAAAATAAACATTAAATTTTTTTTGCCGAATAATAATTAATTTTATTTGTTCATTATGGAATATATGATTTAGATTTGATTTCTCAATTGTTATCCTGTACGTACACATTACATATTTTTTTATATACTCTAAAATTCAAAAGTATACTATATTTGATATAAATTATACTTTTATACATATATAAATTGTATATAAGTTGTTCACATTATTATATAACTTTTAGTACATACCTATTCTTTTTCACGTATAATTTACTTATTCCAGAGATTGGAGCAAAGGCATAGAATGGAAGCTGAATTGAGACAACGTATTGAACAATTAGAGAAACGTCAAATGCAGGATGATGCAGTACTTAATGTAGTTAATCGATATTGGAATCAACTCAATGAAGATATACGTGTATTATTACAGAGATTCGATGCTGAAACTGCCGATGAATCTGAAAATAAAAGTAAGCTTTGAAAAAAAGTGCAATTTAACAATATTTTCTGCGATAAATTTAACAAAATGTTTTTCTGTTTAATTAGACGAGAGTGAGGCTACAACGTCATTTCTAATGCAATTATCTTCCTGGGATAAAGAGGAATTGGATGACAAATTAGCAAATCGTGTACAGGTATCAAAACGAGCTGTGTCTAAAGTTGTACAGGCATTTGATCGTTTATCTCAGAGAAATGAAAAAATCACTCTTGCACTTAAAGGAGAATTTGATGGCGGTAAGTTACAAGAATTTGTTTTGAGATTTTAAATTAATGTAATATACTCGAATAAATTAACATATATATCTTGTTTTGATTTGCGATAAGATTCAAATTTTCTACAAAATCTCTAAAGAACTTTATTACATATATAATTTGCAAAAAATCGTACATTTTTATAATTAAAGATTATAAATCGTATTATGTAGAAGAGGCACCGAACATTGACGAAGTCGTACGTCGTGCCAATGCGGAAATACAAATGGAAAACAGAAATCTGCAGGCGATAAATATACAATTGCATGAAAAATATCATACTATCTCATTGAAGGTAATTGATTTTTTATTTTATTTATATTTAATTTTCTATTTTTTATGTTATCGATTATATACATAAAGCTATTATGTCATAAATAAATTATGAGTCACTTAAAATAAAGAAAAGGGAGATTATTATGAATATTTTTAAACATCAAAAAATTATCATTAGGCGTAAGATTTTGTTCTGGCAGGGTGTTTACTATCTAGAAAAAACCTGGAATCGAATTTTTAGGAGATTTTTTATCCTTAAATATCAGATATTTTTATGAAATTTGTTAATACAGACGGATATTTTTGGAATTTTACTTATTCTATTTCTTTCCGATAATATTGTTTTTTTAACCATTTTATTCGGTAATGTATAATGTTGACAATCAGGCTTAGTAATACGGGCATACACATATATTTATTTACATTTTCGTATGTCTCGCGAGTTTTTATTTAAAAAATCAGGTGACAATAGAAGACACTTAGCAGAAGAAAGTAGCTTACTGTAATGAGTCTTTACTATCCCTAAAATAGATTTCAAAGCTCCAAATAGAAAAGAATAGATACAGTCTCGTGGAATCTTTGTCTTCTAATTTATAATTTGTTTGCGTTACTAGCATTCCAATTTATTTCAGAGTTGCATTAAAAAAATTGTCTTATTTTACTTGGAATATTGAACAAAAGTCTCTAGAAAATCCAGGAATTCTCAGGGAATTTTACAAGATTTTAGTAAACACCTTACCTGGAATGCCGCATGGTTTCATGTGAGAGTCAGATTTGTAATTAGTTCAGATTTGATTTTCTACTCTACACATAAATTTTTATTGAGAAGTTTCAAGAAAGGAGACTAATTTAGAAAGCTAAGACTCGAATTAGGTTGTAACATCATTTAGTTTTTTTTTTATTTATTTATTTGGTTTTTTACATTTAGTTTTTTTTTATTAATCGAAAATGTCAATACTCATTTATTTTGGATATTTCTTTGTAGATGTCAGAATTGCAAGATACAATAACAGGGAAAGATACGCTTGCAGCAGAATTACGAAATCAAGTCGACGACCTGCAATACGAATTGAACAAAGTACGAGCGAGAAATGATAAATTGGAACATCATCTTGGAGAAGCAGTCGAAAAATTAAAAGCTTTTCAACAAATTCATGGCACTGATGAGAAAGGCAGTAATAAACCGAATACTTTTGTTGCATCTAGTGTTTCTCAGACTAAGGTAAAAATTTTATTTTTTTTTACAAAGATACGAGCATAAATTTGAGTTTAATATTACAATATTAATACTTTAATATTACAATACTTTCTTACGTGTGTGAAGTTGGCATCTCATCTTTTGGCACCGCAAGTTTTGATAAGAGTTCCATTGGCACTCGCAATAGTTCTATGGTTTCTGATAGGTTTTATAAATAGTTCCGTTGATTTAGCTAAAAAAAATAACACTTGAAAATTTGCGGTGCTAACTTCCCGTGGCACCGCAAGATTCGAAAAAATCAATTGAAAACTATGAACTTTTATAGTTCTCGAAGAGTTCTACAGTTTCTGATAGGTTTTAACAATAGTTCCGGTCTCTAAGTTATTTTAAATAATAATTAAACACGCGCGCTGGCATCGCATCACAAGAGTAAAGTACTCTTTAATAGCCAGTTCCAGCCGACTTGTTGGCATTTTCCTGTAGTTCTACAACAGTTCCGACGATTTTTATAGATTTCGCTCAGAGTTCTGCCCTTTCAGTACTTTTTAATAACAATTAAACCCGCGCGCTGGCACCGCACCACAAGAGTAAAGTACTCTTTAACAGCCAGTTCCAGCCGACTTATTGTCATTTTCCTGTAGTTCTACAACAGTTCCGACGATTTTTATAGATTTCGCTCAGAGTTCTGCCC